CTCAGTGGCTTCTGCCTCTCTCAAATAGGTTTTCAGCTTTGGAATCCACTAACAAAGGTATTTTGCTAAGTGCTTTATAGAGGTTAGCTTGATTAATCATCCCAACCTCAAAAGGAGTAATGATAGCTGTCACATACATAGCTGGGCACTACTCTGATACTTATATGTATTGACTCATTTCACACTCACAGTGTATCCTTATTATCTCCATTTAATAGTCAAAGACATAGAAAAATAGAGAGATAAATGGGTTCAAATTTCACAGGTGAAAAAACTGGCAGATATGGGATTCAACCCAGGCAGTCAGATTCTAAGGCTTGTGATCTTTACCTCTACAACCACTGACTCTCCAAGAGCCAGGTGTTTTTATCTCCAGTTTTTGAAAAAGATTTTGGCAAAAGCATATGGCTAGTGAGGAGAACAGGATAAGAATCCAGACACGTCTGACACCCATATCTGTGCTTCATCTCCTATTCCAGCCCCAGTAGTGGGTTCCAGGAATGAGGATGAGAGGGAATACCCAAGGCAAGGTTAGGAGGAGAAGAGGTCTTATGGGAAAGCATTGGGTACAAGATGCCTTCCTGTCACCATCTACCTTCACTCCATTCAGTGATGCCAGCAGCCATGGGATGGCAGCTGTGGCTACATTCCTCAACTCTGGATCTCAAGGTCCAGAGAGCTTCCTGAGGATGCAAACATAAAGAATCTGAGATGTGCATAAACTTCCCACCTTCCCCATGTAGTGTCAGTAGCTACCTTGGTTGGTGCTGATTTTCTTTATCTTGATTCTGGCTCTATGAAGATGGATGGACTAGTTTAAACTCCTTTGAATCATCTGGACTGCTCAGAGATCTAAAGGACAATAGGTCCTATGACTAATGAATCCAAATTTGGGGAGCAGAAGCTATTATCATCACCAGTTCTTTTAATCAATGAAAATCAAAGGTCAGTAATTAAATTTCTATCTGTGTATGCTTTATGTGACACTTTGATAAATGCCATACAGATCAAACTGAACACTACCTATTTTCAAAGGGTTTATAAATCATATCATCCATGTAAAAATGAAAGCACAATTAAAATAATTATTATAAAATATTGGGGACAGACTTTAAGTTGATCTTATGTAGATATTTTGATAACAGAAGATCCCTCTACACTCCAAGCAAATAAATAAATATATGAATAAATATGTCCTTAGACACTACCTCTCAGACCATGTCCTGCTCAGTTCTTAGAAAACTAATTTAAACTCTCAGTCTGGCCTTCCAAGTCTTATTCATGCAATCCCAGCCTTTGTCTTTAGCTATGAACCCCCATTTCCCCAAACATGACTCTCTGAAATGAAAAAAAAAAAAAAAACAATAGTTGTTTGAGGAGTGAATTCAGCATTTTCTGCCCTCATGGGCTGGTAAAGGAAGCTGCTGCTGTGATGTCTTAACTCAACTGCCAATTGGACTCACCTTTCAAACAAATCTCAAATGCTACCATCCCGTCTAGGAATCCTCTCCCCATCCTACCAAACAAAAGTGATCTTATCCTTTTCTGAATCACCAGAGTCTGTGCTCTGTGGTACCTACAAGTATATATATGCAGAAGGAAATATATATATATATATATATATATATATATATATATATACACACACACACATACATAAAACTTTTATCATTATTATTTGAATTATGATCTTCAATGTGTTTATCTAATTTCCCAAATTAGGCTGCAAATTTCTTAGGATTGGTGACCATGGTTTATTTCTCCAGTTGCCTCAATTACCTCTCTTTTGCCAGGAAACCATTTTCACTACAAGGATTCAATAAACACTTACTGAACTGCTATTTTATTAATAATAATGATGGATGGAGGGTGTGGTTTTGTAGTAGAACACTTGCCTGGCATGCACAAGTTTCTGGGTTCAATCAAACACTGCAAAAAATTAAATAATGCTAGTGATATAGAACCTCTTATGGAGCATCAACCATGCCAAAAGTGACATTAACATAACTAATTTAAAATTCAAAATCCTGTGACCAAGGGAATTAAGGCTTACATTAATTGTTCAAGTTTACATAACATGTGGAGTTCCCAACTCAACATCTCAAATATATCTTCAATCAAAAATCCAATTTGTTAAGATTCTCAATCTGAGCCCAAGGGAACTCTATATGAAAGTGATACAATGCATAAGATATATGGTTTTTAAGTTTTGGATAAATTAATTTAATGAGTATGAAACAAATCTGCACCTCTCAAGAGTAATGAGTTTAAAAACTTAAAAATATATTTATTAAAAAGAACCTTTATCATTGCAGTATAAGAACTATAAGAGATGAGAGAAAATATTCTTGTGTGAGGTATTCGTTCAGAATAATGATTATGAATAAATTGAATTTGCACAAAGAATAAAGCATAGGCTTAGAAGCTTGATGGACTAGAGTTAAAATTCTGAGTGTAACATTGTAGCTCTTGTCTTTGGGCACACTACTTAAACTTCCTATTTTAATAGGGAATAGATTATTTTTGAAAGAACACATACATGAAGCTGGATTGGGACTTCTGATGTATTTTAGCAAATTATAGAGTCAAAAGACAAAGCAAAACATTTTCCTGGGTAAAGTATAAAAAAAAACCTTTCCAGTTTTCTTGAGAAGATGCAGAGGTACAGCTGCCACTCCTATTTCAATTCCTCGTGTAAGGACAGAATACTCTATTATTCCTACCAGCACAAGAGAAACAAAGGCCAGCATCACATCTTTCCTCCAAAATCCAGTACTTCTCTTTAAACCAGCAAACAAACCCATTCTCTTAAACCTAAAGAACTAAAGGTCAAAACCTGAAACCCAAATTGGATCATCCCTTTAAAAAGTCTGACTACTATATCCTCAATGCCTGCTCCATCAGTCAACCCCCAACATTCAGAGAACGTGTTCTTTGGAAGCAATAGGAATATGGCATTTGGCATCAGTCCTATGAACATATAAACACAATAGTCAGTTTTTAAAATTTTTTTCAGATGTTCCCAACTTACTATCTGAATCTCAAGTTTCCTCAAATGTTAATTGGATCCCCTAGAAGGGCTGCTGTACAAAATATATGTGACTACAACTATTCAGTACCCAACACAGTGGGCACTCAGTAGAGACTAATTAATTCCCTTTCTCCTTCCTAGGTTCTGCGTAAGTGGAGAATTATCAAAATCTTTGGACCAATGTGTTTTTTTCTCTCACTGCCACCTGCCACCATGGATGGTTGGTTCAGATAAAAGGTGCTACCTCATTTCAGTAAGACACAGAATGTCATTTACCACAAGACAAGTTACAGACAGTGTTTACTGTATTTATGATGGTTGCGACCAAATAAATGACATGAAATTAACTGTTTTTTTTTTTTTTTTTTTTTTATCCTTAGAAAATCCCTGAGCTAGTCCCCTGGAAAACAGGTGGCTGGAAACCCAGACTCCACCCAAAGTCAAAAGACCCCAAGAAACAGACCATTGCTTCCTCTGCCAGTTTTTGAAATGGAGGAGAAAGATCACAAACATGAAGTTGTATTGGGACTTCTGATGTATTAGCAAATTAAAATGTCAAAACACAAGGCAAAGCATTTTTCTGGAGCAAGGTATATCCCATTTCAAACCACTATGCTAGAACTGAATTTGAAGTCAACTATCACAGTATGTGATAAAGTTACTTTGAAGTTATCAGAAGATGCTTGGTTTGTTCACAAAATTCCATTTTGTGTTTCAGGAACATTTCATTATTTTGTAAATCACAAAATCATGTTCTTTAAAATCCAAGATGAATATCAAAGCCAAATGGATTCAGCAGATGTTCTTAACAGTCATAATTGCAATTTATACATTCAGCTATTGAAAATAAAACTTCACTTTCCCTGTCCTCTTGATTTTCCAATTTCCTCTTCATTCTTTATCTGAAAAGGGGGGATGGGAGGGGGAGGGAGAGGGAGACTACATCATAGGAAGGGAATCTCTACTACTTTGTCAGTCTAAAGAAACCATAATGTGTCAGGTTTTCTAAAGAAATCCCATCTATTCTCATACAAAAAAAAAACACGTCTGCATTGTATTCACATATGTAAACTGTGATGTAATTATTATTCCAATAATTATATATAAGGGTATATATACACTTGTGAGTGTATCTTTATAGTCCCTATCCTTCTCTCTCTCTCTCTCTCTCTCTCTCTCTCTCTCTCTCTCTCTCTCTCTCTCTCTCTCTCTCTCTTTCCCACTCTCAGACACACACACACACACCCAGTCTATAAATCCAGAAGGCATTCTCAGCCAGATTTAAAGAGACAAGGATTTGAGCCCCCCAGGGAAGGAGCAGCCTTAAATAAATCTGAAGTGCTCTTGTGATTTAGGCACAGCTCCTTCTCAGCAAAGCCCTGTTGCCCAATCCTCTTCATTAACAAATTCCCAATTTCTTTTTTTAGATATTTGGTCTCTAGTCAGCTTAGTCCACTTGGCTTTTTCATCTGAAACGGAAGGAGGTAGTAAAACTATCGGTGTGCCCCGACTGGGGAAGCAGGGGTACCTTCCACACCCCAGCAATTGACCCCCTCTGTCCTCACTAGCTTGGCTGCTGCTCATCTTCCAGGAGCACAGAGGAGATCAGTGAAGCAAGGCCACAGAATCCATCAAGTCCAGATTCACCCAAAAAAGCAAGCCCCTTCCCCATCCCCGACACCCACCCATTACCTCCTACAGCCCCCTTCCCTTCTGTTGCCTCCGCGTCACCCAACACTGCAGCCACCGCAGGGGGTGCGGGGGTGGCGTGTGGGGAGAGAGGGGGCTTCCTTCGCACCCACCCCTCACGCACCCAGAGAAGACTGTCCTCTGGGGAAGGGGCTGCCAACAACTTGGAGGAACTTAGAAAGCCAAAGCTGCCGCGCCCCGACCCTTGGTGGGGCCGCAACCCCGAAGGCGAGGGCGAAAGAAGAGAGTCCGCGGCGAGGGCGAGCACCCCCGGGCTTACCACGAGCACGGGGACCCCGGCGGCCAGAGAGTAGAGGAGCACGGGGGGCACGGCGCTGCTATCCTCCGGGCCCGGGTAGGGCTTGCGGTAGGCACTGTCGTGGCAGAAGAAGCCCTGCACGTTCACGGTGAACGTGTCGGTGTATTCGAAGTAGTAAGCCAGCATCACCGTCCCTGCCATGATCACCATCTGGAAATAGAGCATGCTGCTGGTGAGCGCCGCGGGCAGCAGGGGCATGCACGCCTCCGGGCCGAGCCAAGCCGAGCGGGCGGCCGACGCGGCAGGCCCCCTCCCGGGTCCGCCGAGTCAGCCACCGGGGGCGCGGCGGCGGGGGAGGCTGGAGGACGCGGAGCGGGAGGAGGGATGGAGCCGCTGGAGGAAGAGGCGGAGGCAGTCCGGGTTTTGAGGCGCGAGCAGGCTGCAGAGGAGGCGGCTACCCCCGGACGAGTCCCTGCTCCCCTGCCCGCCCCCTGCCCGATGCTAGCGCCGCCCGCCCCGGCGCGGGGTCGCGCGGAAGGGCGGGGAGTCCCCGGGGACTGGCTGTGGCCGCTGCACCCTGGCAGGAGACCATTCGCGAAACCGCTGTTCTGGGTCAAGCCCTTGGGCCAGCAGGCAGAAAGCCGTGTCGGCGGACCGGGCGGCAGCAAGCGGGACAGCGGCACCTGTACCCCCTTCTGAGGGCAGAGGCTGTGGAGCTGGAGAGCTCCTGGCGGGGGGGGAAACCAAAATAAAAAGGGGAGGAGAGGCAATAGAGATGGAGCTTCTAGAAACTCCCTTTCTAGGCACCAGCTGGGCTGTTTAAGAAACCCGCACAACGCCTGGGAAAATGGTGCGTGGACACGTCTTCAGAGCGCAAATCCCACCAAAGCGCAAAGTGTCCGAAGCGGCGCGAGTTTCAGCGTGTGCCTTTAGCCGCGCTCCCTTGGATTCCTTAACCCTGCACAGGACCCCAGCAGAGCAGTGGTTTCTAGGTTCGATTAGAAAAATGATCTCAGAGGATTTTAGCTTCGGGGTTTCTTTGCCTCCCCTGCAGCTTCCTAGGGCTTTGTGTGTAAAAATACAGAAATCATTGCTCGAAGCTCCAGAAGCATCATCTCTTGTACACCGGTTCCTTCCTTCTTCCATGTATTCTTTTGCTCATCTTCTCAGTCTCCTTTTATTAGCTGCTTGTGAGAGGGGGCTTTGCAGATTCTTGGGAGTCAGCGGTACCAGCCACCAGGAAAAGAAAAAAGGCTATTTGATTCATCTCTGTATTCCCCTAGTTTAGGAATCTGCAGGAATTCCTCTAGGCTCAGGTGAAAGGAGAGGCAGACCAGTGCAGGCTCACAGTACATGCAAAGTACACCCATACGTGGGTGTCCACGCGTGTGCGTGGAGGTAGGGTGCTATGGAATTCGTTTATGCAAGGAATGGATTCTGTGATGCCATGCAGGTCCCTCTGTGCAAGCTTATGTAGTAGACTCCTAAAGGGCCCTTTGGAAACCTGACACTGCAGGTAAGAAAGCATTTATACAAAGCAAGATAGGAGAATATTCTTAGAGCTCTGCCCTTCTCATTAAAATGTAGAATTACCTCCGCAAATTTCTAACTTGATTCATTTTAATGGGTGTAAATGATTTTTAAAAGGTGGGCCTTTATCATCAAGAAAATTCAACATTGTTAGGCTAAAAAAAAACAAGCAGTTCAAATGATTGGTAGTTTGGGAATGGGATAGTAAAGACAGTGTGGGTTTATTTAATGTTGAATGGATATCACATATACCTCCACATTATACAAAAACCATTCAGAAACTTATTTCTCAGAGTGTGCACTAAGAGATGTGTATAACAAGCAATTTGGGGCTGTGGGAGTAAATAGTTCCTAGGTGGACAAAAGTGATTTTCCGTATTATAAAAATGTAACTATTATAACAATGCATGGGTTAAGGTTTCATTCAGAAAAATCATTATACTGCAATCACTGTAGTATAAGGGAATTTAAACCACTTCTTTGGTTCTAAAGGGTATCGTGCAAAATTTCCCACTTAATATAATTTTTAGAAGAACGATGTTAATCACTAAGGTCAACTCATTTGTTCCACCTAATAAAAACAAGCATTATTTTCAAAATTGAAATATATTATAATTCACTGTTAATGTGTATTGAATGCTTCATACTGTACATGTAATGCAGTGGAGTCCTTATTTTCTTTCATTGCTCTATTTCCTGAATGAGCAGGGTATGACACATGGTGGATATTTAATTAATATTTATTGAATAAATTAATGAGGTTACTACCCTAACAACAACAGGAAAGTGTTTTCATTTATAAAATTTGTCAAGGTTTAGGAAATCACAGTCTTTATGTCCCTAGATAAATACAGCCCATCTACTGGCATGGTCACACCGACATAGAAGTTCAGTATAAGAGCATCACTCTGATACTGCAATAGTTCATATGCCAGCTCTGCCACTTAACAACTGTGAACCTAAGCAAGATGCATGACTGTTTTCTGCTTTAGTTTCATCACCAGAAAAATTGAGATGATATGAGTAACCACTATACACAGTTGATATAAGTATTACATGATGCTCAGCTCACTATATATGGCACATAATGAATATATAAATAGTGTTTAGATTCTACAAAAATCAACTATCTAGCCTACCTTAAGTAACTTGGGAAATCCCAACACCTATCACTAGTCACTTCCTTCTCATATTATTGCTTACAGCGTGACTCTGGGTGTGCTCATATTTTTGTAGTTGTGCACGTTTCTTTCCTATAGTATTGTATTCATTCTATATTTTATTTAAATGCAGTCAATCTCAGGAACAAGATATGTATGAGCTTTTTATCACTGTAAGTAAATACCTGGGGAAATTAACTGAGAGGAAGAAAGATTTATTTTGGCTCATGGTTTCAGAAGTTTCAGTACATTATCAGCTGGCTCCATTGCTGCAGGCCTGTGATGAGGCAGAACACCATGGTGGACCGGCATGGAGGAGCAGAGACATGCTCACTTCATGTTGGTGGTGAACCAAGGAGAGAGGGGAGGAGAATGAATAAGAAAGAAAAAATGCAGAAGGGACACCAAGGGCAAGAAATACCCTTCCAGGACACACTCTTAGTGACTTACTTCCTCCAGCTAGGTCCACCTCCTACAGTTTCCACCACCTTTCAATACTGCCATAAAATTATGGGTCCCTCAGTGGATTAATCCACTGATGAGATTTGAGTCCATGATCCAGTCATCTTCAGAAAAGCTCCACCTCAGAATACTGCTGCACTTGGGACCAAGTCTCCAACACCATGAACCTTTAGAAATATTCCAGATCCAAACCATTAAAGTTTTTTTTTTTTTTTTCAGAATCTAATATCCCCATTATTTTGTCATTTTAAATGGTCAAAGGGCATTGTTGACTGATTCGTGGTTGATTGAACATCCAGTGCTGAAATTCAAAGTTAATATTGAATCTTAACATGCATTATAAGGAAATCAACATTAAATTTACCTTCCATAAATATTTGAGTAGACTGGATATTCATAGAAAATGGTTTGAGGTGGATGAGAGAGAATGAGTTATATGCCCCTGGGCTACTTACTTTGTCTTCCTAAGCTTGAGCTTCTTCTAAGCTAAAATGAACTCAATTTTCTTACCTCTGGGCTGATTTTGGCAATTAAATGAGAATATATAAATTAGCTGATCAAAAGAAGGAACTTATTTAGTGTATTTCTTAATTTTGTTTTAAATCATTTAAGCTAATTCTTTCCCAGAATACATCTTTTCATCTGCAAAGAATCCTTTGAAATCCTTCCTCAATTTTTATTTAAGTTTCTGGCTTTTTCTAGATTAAAAACATCCTGTTGCTGTGTAATCTTGTGGAACAAAGACTTAATTCTTAATTTAATTTGAATCTTAAGGATATCATTGTGTTTTCAAATCTATTACAACAATCAGTCTTTTTTTTTTTTTGGTATCAGGGATTGAACTCAGGGACACTCAACTACTGAGCCACATCCCAGCCTTACTTTGTATTTTATTTAGAGACAGGGTCTCACTGAGTTGCTTAGTGCCTTACTTTTGCTGAGGCTTGCTTTGAACTCAGGATCCTCCTGTCTCAGCCTCCAGAGCCGCTGAGATTACAGGCGGCACCACTGCACCCAGTGAGCAATCAGCCTTTCTTAACAAAACATTGTACTGTTGGAACTCTCCCCATCTCAGCTCCTTCCAACTTCCAGTATTCATATTATATTTAGATGCATATGACTTAACAACCATTCATACCTCTACTGTGTTTCTCTATGACAAAATACTGAAACAAATCTTGGGGGAATCATTTATCAAGACCATTACCTGCCTTCTTTCCACCTCAATACCATATGCTCTAGTAAGAATGAGTAAGGTTCTATACCAGCATACAGATATAGTCCTTGGGGCTGGAGATATAGCTCAATTGGTAGACTGTTTGCGTAGCATGCACAAGGCCGTAGGTTCAATCCCCAGCACCACACACACACACACAAAGATACAGTCCTTGTCCTTGTGGTTTATAACTATTCTTCTACAGATAGAAGACAAGTGTACAAAATGTCAAGTTGAGAGGACATTTATGTTGGTAAAAAAAAAAAAAGTGGAAGAATAAATTGCCTAGTCCTTGGGTAGACAAGCATTGAATGCCTGTGGAAGACTAGATATGTGAGTGTATTCTCCTCATTCATTAATACAAGTACAGGAGACTATTCCTGACTCCTCAAGATTTTGACCCATTGGGTTCAATAAAACAAATATTTTATTACTGAAAGGGTCAGATTGATATTTTCTGCCAAGGGCTAAGAATTTGATCCTAAAGGCTTGTGGACCAAATGTTTTTGTCAAAGACATAGCATTTGCAAACAAAATACAGAATGTTAAATGTTCATTTCCACCCATTTGACGTAAATAATGTGTAAATCCAGTCATTTTCCTTACACTTTTACATTTCATGTGAAAGAGAGAGAGAGAGGAAGAAACACATGACCCTCAATACATATTCTGTCCTTTGTGGTAAAATATGAAGGACTCAGAATACTTTACATAAGACAAATTAGAGATGTTTCTCCAAAAGAAAAATGGATTTCTTCTTTAAACAACAAGGCTTATGTTCATAATGCTAAAATTGAATTAAAATGTTTTAAAGAGAGAGTGTGAAAAGTTTTGCACTTTTCACTAATGAGGAAGTTTAATATGAGCACATATTTAAGATCTCATGAGAATAGACTTGGAAAGATTTTTTTTTTAAAGAATAGAT